CAAACGGCTTAGGTGTTATCGTTCAGCAACTGATACATGAACACGAGTAGCCAAGTCCAAGGAACTCACTATGGACAAAGCTTGGTAGTTCTGTTAACAAGTTATCCAAACGGCTTAATTGTTATCGTTCAGCAACTGATACATGAACATGAGTAACCAAGTCCAAGGAACTCACTATTGGATAACTTGTTAACAGAACTACCAAGCTTTGTCCATAGTGAGTTCCTTGGACTTGGCTACTCATGTTCATGTATCAGTTGCTGAACGATAACACCTAAGCCGTTTGGATAACTTGTTAACAGAACTACCAAGCTTTGTCCAACTGATAAATGAACATGAGTAGCCAAGTCCAAGGAACTTGGATAACTTGTTAACAGAACTACCAAGCTTTGTCCATAGTGACATTTCAGAAATAGTAGCTATAATTTGTAATTGTAAGCTTTGTCCATGGTGAGTTCCTTGGACTTGGCTACTCATGTTCATGTATCAGTTGCTGAACGATAACACCTAAGCCGTTTGGATAACTTGTTAACATGTTTTTATGTATTGGTGACATAATAAATACTAATCATAGTAACACTTTCAAAATGCGTTTCCTCACTTCTTTATTTAGCACTACACCACTAGTTGATAGTGTACATCATTTCAATAACTTCAAATCAAATACATCAACAACTACCTGGCTTATACAATAAAACATAAATTAATATTAAGATACTTGGTCGGCATACATACAATAAACCGTTCCTAGGGCTCGGGATTATATCCACATAAAATTTGAATTTTACAAAAACAATTAAAATTCTATACACTTCGGTACACAAAAAAAAGTAAATAAAAAAAAACTTGCCAAAATCAACAAGTCATTATTCTATGGACAGTTGGACACACTATGGAATACTTTTTAAATATGCTTTATACATGAAGTAACTTTAGGGCGAGATAATGCAGTTACTGATTTACATACTGTATTTTATTATCTGAAGAAACATCTGAAATATTAGGAGTTTTCATCACCTACACAAACAAGGAATTTTTTTCTATTTGTTGTTTGGCTCCACTATTAACAACAGTTGGTTCTTGCAAATGTAAATAGAATGTGTCTTACAACGGAGATGTTTAATGATGTTTTAATCATGAAGGAGTAACACCATCGGCAAGAAATGAATACCACATAACTTGGACATGCCACATAAATACATGAAAATAACTAAACAACAAAAAAATTTAATTATTTCTCACTGAAATCAGTGATAATGGTTTGTGAAAGTCTTAGCTTACTTTATAGGCAAAATGGTGGCTTTATATAGTTAAAAATATGCAATTAAAATAATATTAAATAAATGTTAAGAATACAGAACAGTAACAGTTTATAACACGAATGGGTAGACTTATAATATTAAAGTCTTACCAATGAATACATTACTACACTCTACAGAATAAACTGGAGTAAATTTGAGCTACATAAATGATGCTAAACATTACACCAATTAAACCTTTTTAAATTTAATATGGAAAGTAAGTAATCTTTACATATAAACTTAATAAGATATAAACCCGATTGTGAGAAAAAATGTCATGTTATTTTGTTTACTTGAACTTATGGCTTTAGCATCACATTTTAACAATTAACATTTTGACCAAAATAAAATTCATTCAAATAATAGAAAGAATAAGTGCAATACATATCAAATTCATTTTAATATAATATGCTAATAACTGCAAATAGAGTTCATTATAATCCAAAAACACAACAGCAATAAATAATAAATTTATATTGAGTCATCACATGATCAAGAAAAAATAAACATCTGAAGAACTAACACTAACTTTCTGTCTGTTGAAATATAAATACAAGGTGTCTCAAAGGTCAATCTCATGGGTAGAATTCATTTTTAACCCTTATTTTAACAACTGTTTAAGCTGTATGCCTTTAATTTGCATGCACATATCATATGCGCTTTCCGGTGATCTGTATAGTCACCGACTATTTGTATTTTCATTTATCTGGAAAATAAATAAATATAAATTTTAACTAACAGAATGGCTACGAGTAAGGACTTCCGAGACACCTTTTATATATATGTATAATTGTATTAAACACAACCTACTTTTGTTCCTGCTAATCACAGATAATAAAAATTAAAAGGACTAGAAAATTACTGATAGAGTATGTATAACACATACATAAACTCATCAATTTATACTGATTAAATTCCAACATTTGGATAAGCTAATAAATGTAAATATTTAGTAATGTATGCTATAATCATACATCTTACAAATTATGAAACAATATTTTTTGCACTGTTCTATAAAATCAGAAATATAGAATCATATAAACTGATTAACAAGAGTTTCACCTTTTTTTTGTTTTTACTAATTTAAGTAAATAAAATGCCGAGGAAAAAGGTTATTGCAACAATATATATATATTTGATTTAAAAACAAGACCTTGCATAAAAATCAACATTTTTTTTACAGAATAATAAATACAAAATAGGGCCATTTTTAACTGCAGGATAGAATATATACATAAATAAGGTATAAAAAACAATGTTTGAACCTTCACATAATAGTGTTACTCTAACATTACCGTAAAATAAATCAATATGAGAATAAATATATCCAATATCAACACTATATTAATTTTAAACAGAGTACCATACATCAACAAATTGAAAATATTTGTAAAAAACAACAACTATAGATAAAACAATTTTAAAATTCTAATTCTATAATATATATATTTTTCATATTTTCCTTAATTTGTATATCGTGAAAAAACAGGTCACTGCTTCACAAGATCTTACAATATCATAACCTGAGTTACAGTCAGAAGTTCCGAATTTCCAAAAGTTTGGAGACTTTAATTAAATCAAGTTAAAAACACACATTCATCAATGCCTTCCTGTCTTAAAATAAAGCCAACAATGGCTCCATTTTCTGGTCAGCTTTGTTAACCTAAAATTGTTTGATTTTATCCAAATGATCACGCCCAACACTTGTGGTGGACAAAAAGCAAACTAAGCTCAAAGCTGTGTTGTCCACAGCAGAAGAGGAAAAATTCAGGCAGCTTTAGTAAAATATTACCATCTTACAAATGTACGACTCAAAACGGTTGTGACCAATAACATTTACAATGGATTCTGAGTATTACTTTTATACAACTTTTGTATAACCAGCAGTAAGAAATTAAATACTTTTATTGTTAAAATAACAGTTAAAATCATTCTTCAAATTTATGGGTTTTCAAAAATATATCTTGGTAAACTATTATGATTATCATAAGATAGATGGTTACTAACAGAACAGCATACAACATTCAGGATATTTGTTAAAATGTTAACAATTGAGTAGGCTGTAAAATCTCTTAATTAAATTTATTAATAGACGATAATGCTATCCATATATAAACTGACTAAATACACAATTAAGAGGCATGGAGTGAATCATTAATGAAAGTAAATCTGTAACACGTACGTAAATTTTTGTTACTATTGATAAAGCATTAAATGATCATGGTTTCAGGTTCACTTCCTTTAAGAACTGAACAAGCTCCAGCAGGCTAGCTGTGTCTCTGTAGGCAATAAGTCCATCCATGTTGCACCAGCGGTCAACTCCACTAACACCTTCCTCTGGAGAGTTATAGATCAATTGAAGATTCTCTTGATTATCCAAGAGGGAATCTAAAGGCAAACTAAGAACCTTTTTCAGGTTCATCACGCCACCACCCATGGAGCGAAGAATAGCATGTGGAGCACAAGTGTCCCATCTGAAGGTCGAGCCCTTGGTGAGCAGGTACAAATTAGCAAGACCACATGCAACATTCACTACCTTGTACCCAGCACCTGCAGCAAAGACCACTTCGTATTTATCTTTTAAAGCACTCACCAAGGGTGATGCTTCACTGCTGCTGATGGTGATTACACTTTTATCAAGAGGGGTGTTACAGTTAGCAGCAAGTTCAGAGGAGATATTGTGACATAATTTCTCATCAACATTTAAAGTTGTTTTCTGGTGACAAAACCCCCAGATGCAACGACCGGTCCACCTGTATATAAATGGACAGGAAAACATCACAGAATATTTAGTTTATAATATTAAATTAAACATAATAATTCCTACTACTTTTTAAAGATATCTTTTAGAACTTTGTGGATATCACTATAGCAGAAATAAAAAGCTTGCACTGGATTTACTAACCAATGTCACTAGTTTAGTGACTTACTTTAGCTAATGATTAAATCTTATTCAATACAACCCAAGAACTATCAACTATAAATACACTTTCATATTGGTTTGAATACTATCTGTAAATGGTAAAAAAAAATCACACAAACCCAAAATGTAAAGTAAAACACACTACAATTATAAGACAAATTAAATCAATTTTTCGTGCACAAGAAGCAAGAGTTATTCTACGAAAATATAAAATCCCTTGAAATTTCAGGTTAACCTTTCCTACAGTGAAATAAGATATTCTGAAATTCGTATTCCTATAGGTAAATGCATGTAAAATTAGAATCTGTCTTGCTTTTAGCCCAAGAGTTGAACCCTATACGAAATAAGTAGAATCTGTCTTGATTTTAGCCCAAGAGTTAAATCCTATATCAAATAAAATCAGCTCTGAAAATCTAGAGAGCAATATCATTGTGTTGCTTTATTTTCTTTAATAGCAATAATGTTGAGTGAAAAATATCACACTAATTTTTCTCTGCATTCCAACGAATAAGATTTAAAATTTTGTTACATGCCAATATAATGCATACAGTGTGGACATGTGGCTACATTGTGTCAATGACACGAACTTTAGCTACCAGAGTTAAGGAGCATGCACAAAACAGTCCTTCCAACAACTCTGGAACTTACAACCATCTACGGAGAAGCCTAATCTCAAATACATCAAAATTACAGACTCGGCATCAGACGAATGGACATTAAGGAAAAAAGAAGTGTTCATAGCTCTTAACACCAAAGCTGAACAAACAGCTAACAACATCACTACATCTCAAACTGTGATAAACATATCATGCCAGCGATGGGCAAAGAGTGAAAACTTTGTTGAACAATCAAAATTCAATCTTACATAATGAAACTAATACAAGAGAATGCTAGAAGTGGTTATCATCGATCATCACTTCAGTTTCAGTTTTGATTCAGGTGTATGTAAAATATGTTACTAGTTTACTGTATGTATGTACACACGCATACTGACTGGCCACTTCATTATAACTTGCCATGCACACATTCATAGAGTACTCCTTTTATCTGTGTACGAAAAATATGATAAGCCTTTGACTTTCAAAGACACGTTAAACTGGATCTTCATCTTGAAGACTGTTTCTTTTATAAACTGTAGAAATGTATTTACTCTCAAAACCATCAACAGAGAAAATTAAGAGGAAATACCATAAACTGTGGTTGTCAACCGATGCTGATCTGAAAAGCATAGCAGACAGACAGTATACCAGCTAACCAATTCCTAAAACAGTCGATATTCAGTACCTATAACAATAAAATGCAAAAAATACGTACAAAACACTGTCATATGGTACCCAAAAACACATTTATTGCAGATGCAAAAAAAGATCCTACTAAACTTGCCCGAGTGTTTTTACCGGTCATGTCCCCTCACAAAGCTCCATTTTTACCTTAATGGACAAAGACTCTTCCAAGCAAAAATAAAATAATCAACCAAAGTTGTGTTATCCACGATTGGTTCATAAATCAGGAGAGCAAATTTATTGGCTAGTCAAATTACTAGACCTCGATCCAGTTGAGCATTTATGGATAAACTTAAGCATTTGGCACCATAATCCTTTGCACCAATCCTGTGAACCAATTGCTGACTATACTCATTGATAAAAGGACTATAATTAAAGATGACATAATTTCTCACCTTGTGGAGTACAAGCCACACAAGTCCAGCCTATTATTGTGGCAAACGGTTGTTCAGCCTGATATTAAATGGGGTCTTTAATAAGCTGGCCAATAAGTGTTTGTACATGTGCCGTAACGGCTCTTTAGCTCTATCACACCCTGTCTGGTGCATCCTGCCTTGAAGAATAAACTGTACTATTGAATTTAAAAAATTATACAAAATAAACTTGTAGTTGTTCTTGTACATATTTTAAAAAAATATGCTTCAAGTTGAAATTTATCCAAAAAAAAAAGTTTTAGTGATTCAATTCTAACATGAAAATAAAAGTGACAAATTTTGATTTTGTGCTGATTCTAGAATACTGAACAAAATCATTGATGTTTGCGAATTTTCTAAGAAAAACTTCAGAAAATTCAGCACTAGGAGGAAAGTAATAATAGTTTAAACAAAATAATTCTACGTTAACTTTGTACCTTGAATACAATTTATAAGTACAGTTTTATCAATTTTCTGGCCAATCAGCATTTCCTAACTTCAGTTGTCATGGTGCGACATAACTTGCTATCTAACTCAGCTTCAATAAGTTGTAGATTAGTAATCTAAGTGGAAATGTAACAGTTTGTTTTTCTGTTCTATTCAACTGTACAAATCAGTATAGTTTCCAGTTCAAAGAAGAGTTGCAAAGAGATCAAAACAAATTTATAAAACCTTAGATTAGTGATATGTTACTAGAAGAAACGGTGTTTTCGAATAACTTCTGCCATAATCACAGTCCTAATTTTTTTAAAGCTTCCAAAAAAAAACTTACTTTATCATTTTATACTTCATTTGAATCATGATGTTGAAATGTGATAGACAATGCTGTCTGTGGAACAATGTGACATAGGCTAAATTAAATCATTTCACACTCAATCATTTTTATTAAGTTTTATTTTCCAACAAGACTGCTGTGTTAGCGTTTGTTTACTTTAGGCTTTATCAGTTCTAGAATAGGCTTGAATGAGTGAATTAAATCACCAAAAAGAAATATTTATGTTATTATACAAAGGGTTTAAATCATACTATATATATTAAATGGAACTTTTTGATAAGCTAATTAAAAGAAAAGTTGGCTTGCTTATAATTTTGGTATGCTAAAAGCTACATTTATTATAGGCCAGTGATCGTGAACACAGTGAAACTACATGCAATGTTTTTCTAATTCAAATAAAGATAAAATCTAGGTTTATAAAATAAAACCTTTATACAAAAAAAAAGGTTTTACAAGAATGCAGGAAGAAATAAAAGATCATTAATTAAAATCTACAACAATAGTAAGTACTTTTGTTTCCTAAAAAAAATATCACAATGAAGTCATGAAATTTTCATAACTGCAAATTCAAAGAAGTATAACATATAAAACAAATAAGATATTTTACTTGCAGGAATTAAATAGCTGCAGAAAATTCTTCTACAGTTTCAAATTATTTCATCAATAGTTTTTTTTTGTTTTTAAATGCAGTGAAACAAACTGTGAAAAGATGTACCGAATCAATGCGCCCGGCTGTGGTAGGGCTAATTGAGCTTAAAGCGCATTACAAACATAGTATCAGCACACATGATACATTTGAAGAAGAATATTTATATGCATATATGTTAATATTTACCTATTTAAGGAATAGTCCCATGCATAAAATGGCTGATTGACTACGAAAGATGTACCGAATCAATGCGCCCAGCTGT